TAATCGGTATAAACTTCACATTAGAGAAGGAAGAATATGAGAAGTTCATGACGGATGTGGCTGTGATTGTGGGATATTGTAACAAATAAATTGCGAATAAGTTAAGAATGGTTAAACGTATTGCAGTTAACAACAGGTCAAACGAAAACTTATGATAAAAGAAACCTGAATATACATACTATATATATAATCTAGTAAATTAATAATTATCTAATAAGAATATATGCAATATTAAATGAATGGTGGTTAGCAGTAGAATCCAGAATACTCGTCCCACCAGACTCGCTGCTCCTCAGCTGAATATATCTGCATCACCCAGTTGATGTTCACCCGTGGAATCGAACCCAGCACCATGCGCTCCTTCATTCTACTACTAGCCTCCATCCATCACTACTTATAATGCTTTTGACGTCAAACAATATCAAGGCAATCTTCACAGGATTCACATATATCAATGAGAGACTGATTTATGTCAGTCATAAACATCAATGGAACGATTCAAACAAACAATACCAAAATCAATATGTAGTATTAATCCATAAATAATTCCTAACAGCTACCAATGTATATTAAAAAATCATAGACCATATTTTTCTATATCTGTCACGTCAAAATAAAACGGTGAAACTGGCTAAAACTGAAATCTCACCTCCATCGTTCTGTAAGTTGAAATTTTCACATTCTCAATGTATATACATATTTTTGCGAATGTTCACGGTTCACTTGTATGATGAGATTTCGATAAGTAGTATAGGAGTTGTGGAGATAAATGTTTAACAAATTGCAAACTTATTATTCATTCCAAGAAACGATATACTTCCAATTGTGATGGGTGCATCGATAGAGGAATATGAAAGAGTCGCTCCTCCATACTCGTTCATTCATGTTGATCAATTCAAATCACCAGCTAAACTGGCAGACTATTTGAAGTATTTGGACACGAACGATACTGCATATAATGAATATTTTGCATGGCATGGTCATGGAATCATACATGATCGGGATTCACAACCTCAATGTGCAATGTGTCTGCTAGCTCATACATCTCATGCATTTGGTCCATATTGGGTTCCGAGTGTGGCACGATGGTGGAATGATGGATGTAATGGTCGGAAATTGCGTTGGAATCCATGAAACATGAATATTGAGAACAGAAACATTGTTTTATAGTAGATTGTATTAAATTGTAATGTACATAATGCTTTCTGTGGTATATTTTACACATAATAACAATTCTGATATTTTTCGTGAAAACATTTGTCACGTTAACTCAGACAATTTCATATGGAATGATTATGGAGCAACATAATGCTGTACATTATTCACAAATGATTGTAATATGATAATGAGAAAGGTATATATGTTCATAATAGAGAAGTATTGGTAAAGAAAATAACAAAAATTGGATTTGATGGAGGGAAAGTATTCTCTTTTCATATTAACTTTCCATCCTAAACTTCGACCAATTTTAATATCAACACCATGGGTTATAATAATTAACACCGTCTAAATTGTAGTTTCAACTGATTCACGTGAATATAAATGAGTTAATAATTGGACAAATGTAAATATTAGTCAGTTGATTATTTAAATATCACTAGTTATGATGCTTCAGTAATGTTGTAAACTCTGAGGGGTACTACTAATAATAGTGTGTATTTAGTTCAAAACACCTGAACCTCGTTTTATCATGATTAGTATAGGTTTAAGTTGTCCCATTGTTGATATGTGGCACTGCATTCTCTCTAGCTTTTGTTACCATGTGTGCATATCGTCTCTGTATAGCCATTTTTTGATAATGATGGAAAGAAAAATCAATTTTCGATTGATTTACTTATTATGAGTTTTGTTTAACATTACTTCCCTTCTAATTCAGTGTGATGATCATTCACTGTAGTATTTCTTTTCTTTTCTCGTATGATATTTTATACCGTATAATATACAATATTCTTGTATTCCATTGATATGAACTATGCTCACTCAGTAAGTGATTTGTTATAACTGAGTATGTGATATAATCCTAATTATTAATCATAAATGGGTGTAAAATCAATATATAAACCAGTGTATTTTCGACTATTTTGATCATCGTTCATCGTCGTGTTTGAAGCTAATAAATCTTCGCTTATACCAGTCTCGTGTTCTTACTTTCGCATCGTGGGATTTGTCGAGGTCCCTCATTCCGAGTATAAGTGATCAGCGCTTTTTCCGGTACTACAATTTTGACGACCCAATACAAAATGTTTCTACAAATGTTTTGCAGAATATATGGATTTGTGACTAGCAGCGAAACCCAAGACTAGAGTCTCGTCCTATTTGGGGCTCATCATCCGAGTGTACTTGCATGGAATGTACCACATAGAATGCAAAACTCCCGACAGAAAGTGATCAAAATTTAGTCAGGACAGCTAACGGTGCAATAATTCAAATCCGTTCTTTCAGTAATGTAAGTATCATACCTGATGCGGAAGCGAGTGATTAGTTCGACTCCCCAGCTCATTCGATAACACTTTGGTCATTTAAAGAAATAGTGCTGGTTTCAAACTTCTCCTTAGGATCTATATTGGTATTCATTTATCTTTATCTAACCAGGACCAAATAAGACAGAACGCGTGTCCTGAATCAAGATGTTAGACGCAAATCAATCTACTCCATAAAATCTTCCAAAAGTTTCTTTTTTTATTCCCCTCAACTACCATTTACAACTCATCTTAAAGTTTAGCCAAAAAAACTGAATGTCGTTTTCTCGGGAGATTTCACTCGAGATAATTAAAATCGTAGAAGACGATACAATCAAGACAGTTGAAAGTTTTCACATCTTGAGCAATAACCTAAATCATACTTGTTTTCATTAAATTTAAGTGTAAATGAGAAGTCTTATAACTGCTAATAACGTAAGAAGACGTAAATTTAATCAAGTTAACTACAAAATACATCTCACCAAGTTATCCTGGATCGTTATATATTTTAACTTAAAATGTCAAATATATAAAGCATACTAGAATAGGTAGACCATACATTCAATAGTAAATAGCACAAACCATAGTTAGCGTGACCTCCAAAAGCCACTTTATGTAGCAAAACAACATGTATTTTGATTACAGATTACCAACAAATACACTTTTATATATAGTTCGGAAACCGAAATGAATTTTGTTCAAAAATATTTTAATTAGCTGTAAAATTATCTTGTTTAGTGAGACTAACCTCAAAATGACTTACATATTTCTTCAGCTGTTGTTAAGTGCCAACAATCTACATGAGGCTTCAACACAATTAGAATTTTTGAGTGAGTTACAACCAATGATTGGAAAGTCTTCAGTAAGTAAACCTTTAAAGAATGAGTGTTCTGTATACACGATAGAAAATATGCTGTATTGGGTTTATTTTATGAGGAAAGCAAAAAATCACTATTTTGGAAGTTGCTTATTCTGGATAAAGTTAAGAACTATGCATCGTTTTAGCTAGGTTGCAGTACGTCAACATCGAAAGACATTCTATGGGAAATCAATGTCACTTATCATGATTTAACAGGTCTTAGTCGCTTATCAAGCACAGAAATATATAATTTTTCAAACACGTTTTATGTGCACGACATATAAACATATGAATTTATCATATATCTTAAGTCGTATGTATCAAAACCAAGTCAAATGCGTCGTTTTCCACTTAAATGGAAAACTGTCTATATTGTAGTCTGTTTTACATAGATACTATAACCCCGACCGCTCCCTTATATTATTCAAGATGTGAAGGGTGGTGTCCAAAATCTGATGCTGATACACGACGTACCATGCTCTAACCTTTCGACTGACTACTTTAGTGAAAACACAGT